CCCCAAAACCCCAAAACCCCAAAACCCCAAAACCCCTTATTTTCCAAATACTTTTGAACTCAAGTGCTAAATTTAGGCTCTCTTACGAGGAGGTCTCATGTTTTTAACTTCCTCCATTTCATGCTTGAGCTCACTTAGCTGCTTCTTATTCCTCTCAAGCATCTTCTGAATATCAAGGTCGAGCTCCTCCTCAATCTTACTCAACAATGGATCATACCCAGACTCCGCTTGAGCAGTCTGGGGTCTTTCAAGTGGCCCATCATACATCTTGCTAAGTATAATCTTTTGGTCAATTTCCTGTGCTGAATTCTTGGTTGCTCTAGTCTCGATCTCTTCTGTCTTCTGCTCGACTTTATAAAGTCTCTCCAGCAGTTCTCCTATTCTGACATTGAGCATCTCATTCTCGCTCTTGAGGGCTTTAACTTTCTCGCTTTCAGGAATGAGCTTTCCATCCATGTAGTTGCCAATCTCACCTTCTAGCTCCATTTTTCTGTATTTATCAAGATCCTTCTTAAGATCCTTGTTTTCTTCTTCAAGGATGTACATATTGTTCAGTTCAATTTTCATGATTTGGTTTTCTTTGTACGTGAACTCATAGTTCTTCTCAGTCAGTTGGAGCTTTAGCTGCTCATTCTCTTCAGTTAGTTTAGATATCCTCTTGTGAAGTTTACGCAGTTCTAACTGGCCGTTTGTGAGAGTAGACTCTTGGTCATCAAATTTCACCTTTTTCAAACGGGATTTTAGGTTTTTGTTCTCTTTGTTAGAGGAGGGATAGCTGCTCTCCTCGTTCTCTTCAGATGGCTTAGCGCTTCTTTGGACTATTAGATGTGAAGAAGGAGCTTACCTCTTACTTGCTGCTTCTTTGGCTCAGGTAGGGAAAGTCCTGATTGCTTATAAAACATCCTTGCAATGTCTTTATCAAGATCTGTAATTTTCTCATACTCCAGAGTTTGTAAGCGTAGCTTTAGGACAAGATGGTGCTTAAATCCTTCCTTTGAGTATACTGGATTTTTGGAGATTGACAGATCCTTGAGCTTTGGAAGTTGGTAAAGAGTATTTAAGGTACTTTCTTCGTAAAAAATATCGTTATTGGTGAAATCTACTGTATCAAGTCTCTTTAGATTAGCGATAGGTGTTATATCTGCTATCTTATTGTGAGCTAGATATAGTTTCTCCAGATTAGTCATTTCTTCAAGTGCCATAATATCAGAGATCAGGTTAAAGTTCAGATTCAGTTCTACTAAAGTTGTCATTGTTCCGATACTTGTGATATCCTTTAGTAAATTATGAGAAAGACAGAGGCATTCAATATTGACCATGTCATCAAAGTTCATTTTCGGAGTATTTTCAAATTTTCTGATATTTCCTTCCCGGATTATTAAGCATTCTATCTGTTCTAGAGTATCTCAGTTTGATTTTTCTAGAACTAGCTCTAGGTCTGCATCGATTCCTTTATCCTGATTTTGCTCTTTGTTTTTAATGTCTATCTCAAATGAGATTTCTGAATCAATTTTGGATTCTATATCTTGTAAAGCTTTCAGCTTTTTCTCAATGAAATCGTTCTTTTCAAGTAAAGTCTTCGCCTTAGGTATGGCTGTTTGGGGGCGAGATCTTTTATTTATACCTCACTCCTTCAGGAACTTCTTCCGGCCTGACATTTTTGAGCCATTTGAAACCTGCATTTTCCTGCTGATTTTCTGGAACAAAACTTGTAGCAGGTCTTGGTTTGTAGTCATGAGGTTTGTTCTTGCGTACAATTTCTTTTAAAAACTTTTTCTGCTCCTCCCCTATTTCTTGATCCTTAGCTTTAGCTTTAACTGGCATAGGAGTACTAGCCGTCTTCTGGGACCCATCTTCATCTTTTGTTTTATGACTTCTGCTGATATGACCGGTGAGCTGTTCAGAGCTTACAAATTTTCTCATACATCCTGAATAGGGGCACTCAAGTGGAAGTCCAGGTTCCTTTGAAGGCTGCTTTTTCTCTTCTCTCTTCTGCATCATCATTCTTTTTATGGCTGACATTGGTCTATCAATGGCTCTTGGCTTTGCAGAAAACTTTTGAGTTGAGGTATCTATGACCTCTTCCTGTGGATCATTCTCCATTTAAATTAAGATTTCAAATATGTTTTATTATTTTGGGGTTTTGGGGTTTTGGGGTTTTGGGGTTTTGGGG